AAATAAAAAAACAGGTACTCCTGTTTAAAGTTAAAAATCATTAGACCTCAAAGTGGCCCTCAAAACTGACTATGTAGCTGCTTAGTATGAGGTTATAGTTGCATTTAAATTTTTTCACAAGAAATTATTCAAATTAACACACAAGGAGAAATATTTATATGTATTTTACTGTGGTAAGTTTCTTTGGTAAACAGGGAAAACTAAAGAAAGAGGGTAAAGTCGAACTTTTTAGAGCAAGTGCAAGCTGTATAAGTTTTGCCTTCTGTGTGAACAAAACACGTCAAGGGCAATGGTGGTAAGTGGGGGTTAGTTTTGTTTTCCTGAGCATTTCGTTTGCTGTCTTTATTGTTTTGGGGTTTTCTTTGTTGGTTGTGAAGAAATGCATCCTTTGAAAAAGACCTTGGATGATGCACAAAGACAAATGGCGAGAACAAGATGAATAACATGAAAACGGCGATGGCTGATCCTTAAGCACTGCCACGTTATCGCTTACGAAGAGCACAGTAAACGACGCTGAGGCTGATGCCGCCCTGTCCAAGCCAAGAAACCATAACCATGGCAACAGAGTTAGGCGCCACAAGTGCAAAAAAAGGCGGGAAGAAGCTTCTGATTAAAAGCACACTCACACGCGCGCTCACACATGCATGCACACTTTAACTGTGTGCGTTGTGGGTGGCCTCCTCAAAGCGCAGATCTGATGCTATGTACTGTATAATGTAAATTAAACGAAGGGCTGGTTTCCTCATTTTTCCATCGTGTTTGATCAGTGGTGTGTGTTTCACTGCAGTGCAGCTGCACTACCCCTACAGGAAGTACACAGTCTCATCTGCAGAGACGCACACTGTAAATATACAAAGTTACACAAACAGTTGGATCTTCTAAACCAAAGACATTCAAAGACACACTAAGTTTTCTGTGTCTGTGTGTATGTGTGTGTGTCTGTGTCCATGCACATTCATGTCACCTCTCTAAGCACACCAGATCTGCCAGGCGGACATCATGCAGGGTTTGGAATTAATGTCTTCTTGCTGACATTCTCTCTCATGATATCTTCCACCAAAACATCCCTTCAACTCCCACTTGTTTCCAGGAGTCCTCCTCAGCTTCTTGATGTTTTCTTTCCTATTGCGCTCACGTCTTTCTTCTCCATCCATTGGGTATTTTGTGCTCTTATTATATACCACCTATGCTTTTCTGCCTAACCGACTTCTTTCTCTCTTAACGCCTGCTCCTCATTTTTCTCAGTTTGGCTTTTCTTCATATAAATCCTAATCCTATTTCAAAGCTAGACTAAAATTAATGAAAAGTAGCCTTTGGAAACAAAACCTAATGTGACAGACAGGAGAATGTACACATGCACTAATTGCAAATTCCTGTCTTACTTAATTGACAGCAACCATATGCAGACATGTATTTTGTTATGTTCCTGATTTGTAAAATGTATCCTCTGCAAAAGGATTTCTTTTTCACAAACTGTTTCTGCCACTTGACATGTCACACTAATGAGCAGCATTTTGCATTTTAGCTGCTTTATGTCTCTGCCAGAGATGTGTGCTAATGTTACCAGTTGTGCGAAGGAAAAAAGATTTACAGACGGAAGAGAGCGAATCCACAGTCTTAGCGAAAACAAGACAGAGCAGATGAGACAAATCAGGAAAACATTTCTGATATTTAGACTGAACTGATGCTGTGCTATGTAACAGGAATATACAATGTGGCTATACAATAAAGTTAAGATTATGCTCAGTTTGATATACTGGCTGAAATCAATGGCCGACTGACGTTGCGTCTCAGACATTTATTCCTTCCTCTAAATGTCACCTGCAGAAATCTTTCTACTTGAATCTTAACAGATATTTTATCTGCTTGTAACTAAACGCAGACAGTCGGTGCTTTGTTGAGCAAGTCAGCCTTCTGAATGATCACACTGCAGCGGAAAGCAGAGTTTGCAACAATCAGATCAAGTGGGAAAGAATAACTGTGACTTGTGTTCGAAACTATAATAGTGTTCAAACAGCCAGAGTTTGGATTAAAGATGGATTTATTTTGTGCTGTGAAATTTGCAGGGTGGGAATTTATCTAATGCACGTCTGTTATAATTAAGCCTTGATAAATGAACACAGTGCTTATTGACCTGGTTAGAGCCAGGCAAGTTTTTTTCTGTACAAGAAGCATAATCATAAAAGGCAAAAACATATATGATCTAAATGTGACCAATCGCTTCTTCAAGTCAACCTTCATATGCAATTCTGGACTGCTTATAGTGCTGCTGCTATTTTCAGACTGCTCTCTAGGGTCTGGTTTTGAAAAGCTCTAATTTAACAGTCCCATCCTGAACCAGGCATGTGGTCTGAATACAGTTAAAGCCACGTGAGGGTAGGTTTGAGGCACAGCCTGCAAGAGTACCACTTCTACTAATGTTAATGTACACCAGTACATTAGGAGTGTGAGCGAGATAAAAGACAAAAACAACGTTACCAAACATGGCACCCCAATTGACTCTCAAGGCTCACATGTCCCAAAAGAGGGCACTGTAGAAAAGACGGAATATGGGAATGTGGAGGCACTTTGGCTGTTTAATGTCCAGCGTTGAAAAAGACTATCATACACAGCAAACTGTGTCACTCCACAAATTGTTCTTACCATCTGAACCAGTGCCATCCTCTAGCGCTCGTGCAATGCAGGACTTGACGGTGCCAGACACTCTCTCCCATGCCTTGCCTTACCATGAAAACAACAGCTCAACTTATTGCACAAGTCACGATGCCAGCAAGCAACAATCAAATCAAACAAATCTATTTAAGCGGGTGATTAAAGTAAATGACCCTCGTTACCAACTCCCTGGGTATTTTGTGATCAGGTATATTCCCCCATACCTACTGTAATCTTAAATCATGCCTTAAATCCTTTCTAAATCTGACTACATGCTTTGTCTCCTCCGCCTTCCTAGGTGACAGTTATTAACCCTCTCACTGTAGCTCTCTGTGCCTGAGCTGACTTTTACCAGGCCATGTCAGGCTTCACACTAACTTCCCTGAGGCTGCTGCCATGACTAATTTTGGACCTTCTGAGGCATAATGATACCTTTATCTTGCTTGGCACACTGCCGACATTTAAAAATTCATAAACATGCATATATACAAGTATATCAGCGTTTGTACAGGAGTGCAAGGCAAGCTCACACTATCGCCAACACACAGACAGACACATGTGCAAAAAGCTCACACCTAATCTGTTCCTTCCCCACCATCTTTCCATTTCAGGGCTGTCAAGCAAAGTGTCACAGGGTGAGCTTTAGTGCCACCCCTCCCAGTAGTCCCCTACCATTGACTATTTCCAGAGCCACTCAAGTGGAAAAAAGCACAAAATGCAAGGAGGAAAAAAAGAAAGCGAGAACAGGCGATGTTGATGGCCTCAAAAACTCCTCCAAAACTCCAAAACAGAAGCAGGGAGTGTCTTCTCGCATGACATACACACTCTGAATTGTCACGAGTGTGTTATCAGACTCCTTGGAGATGCTCTGTGTGTGTGCGGGCTACAGTTCTCTGTAAGTTGGCTGCAACTACCTGGCAGATGTAACCTGAGGCTTTCACACAAACAAATACACACAGAGAAAGACAGAAGAGTTGGCTGCATTTTCATCATCTCTCTGCTGTGGAATCAGAGCCCTGAGTCACAGAAAGGCCCTGCTGCCAGGACAGTAGATTTTTTTTTCTTGCACAGAAGGCAGAAACAATGCAAGCAGAGCAGAGTCTAACCGTCTACACTGAGCAGACGGTTGGGGAGGCCACTGAGAGCAGTGAGGGGGCGTGCAGTCTGTCCTACATACACACCAGCACATGCAGATACACACAGATACACAGCAGGAGTGTACAAGGAGAGTTTGGAGAGGGCAAAGAAGTACCGTGGGTTGTAGATCCTTGTATTGCATACTGTGTCCTTGTAATGGACAGATAACACTACTAAACAGACAGATAAGATAGCAGTTAACCAGATTAGGCGTACAGGCTGACAAGACTTAGAGTTCTGTCTTAACTGTATGGATGATTTCTTTTCATACACCCAATTACATGTTTCTCTGTCACGATGTCCTTTTCTCATCCAAATCAAAGGTTTAGTGAGTCAGTAAAACAAACATTCAAAAGTTTGGCTAACTCGCTGACACATAATGAGAGGATTAGGATCGTAAAGTCCAGCTTTTGAGCCCAATCAAAGAAAAGTTTAATGAGCTCTGCAAATTTATATTAGAAATAAATATCTCAGAGACTTATCAAATCTCAATCAAAATCATTTCAGTCTCTCTAAAATGGCTGAGAGGGTGAAAGCGAGCTTCGGAGATCTCAGATGTGATTTCTGTTGTACTTCTCATCCTTTCAAGCTCCTCTTGAATGAGCCATTGGGGTAATTACGAGCAGATGAAATGAAAGTAAGTGGGCTGGTGGTGAAGGTCTGCCAAGCATTCACATCGTGAGCGCGGCTACAGAATTAGAGGCAAATGGACACACTGACAAAGAAAATGTCAGCACGACCGAGAAGAGCTAATGAGAAATGTAAAGAGATGTGGTTTTTTAATCTCCTTGAAGATAGCTGCGGAGGGTTACTGCTCACAACACGCAATATTTCACAAATTGGCCACATCTAAATGACTATAGCTATTATCCATATTATATTGTCCTTAATTGGCACAGCTAGCCATTATCAGCTACTGCTAAGAAACAAAAGATATAAAACTCGGATATAACTTCTGGGTCAGAAAAGTGAGGCAAGAGTGGTCTGTGTATCAGAGAACCTAAATCTTGTGATTTAATTGTTTATAATTAATCTAATGCACACTGTAGAATCATACACGTAAGAGAAAATTTGTAGAAACTTCAGCTTCTGGGAAGATTTCCAAGACACAGGTTTAATGGCTATGTGTGCAGATGGTTATCAGAAAGTTCTGTATTACATGCACTCTAGGTCAGACGATGGGGACTGCCCACAGTTTAATGAGGACTCACCCCAGACCGCAGTTTGAAGCAGAAGGAGGGCCAGCAGGAGCTGCGGTCCACAAACAGGCAGTAAGCCCTGCATCCTGCTGCACCTGGAGACAGAGATGAAGAGAGAGGGAGGAAATGTGAGTACACAAAGGAAACTGTAATCAACACATTGCCCTTGTGAAGTTCTTCTAATACACAAGACATGCTTGGATGAGTCATCATTAATAATTCCTTTTCAAGGGATTTTTTCCCCCCCTGTTGCTCAGTGAAGGCCTTAGGACACACATACAGTTCATTCTTCAGTTTAATTTGCTGTTTCGTAATGTGGGTGGGATAAAGTCTTCTGAAGCCTTTTCAGACAATGGTGATTAAAGGCTTTTAAAGGCTATGTAATAAATACCTCGACTTGATGTGACCATTGTGCTTAATCCTTTTGAAGTACAATAAAGAAATAGACGTTTATCTTTACACTTCACAAATAGCTATTGCTCAGAATTAAATGTACAGGCTGAGATTTACCTTTTATCTTTAAATCTATCCCAATATGTGCTTCTTTCTCAGAATATTTCATGGCATAAATTTTCACCTTATATCCAAGCTCTCAAAAACCATGCCATACCATCTTTGCGCACTAAGCCATCAACCAACTGGCAATAGATGAGATGAAAATTCTGGTAAAAAATATTAACTATATAATGTGCCTAATGGCTTGCTTGATATAGCAAGCTGTTCAAAGGTTTAATGGAGGGGGGAAAAGCAAAAGAGACTTTTTGGGGAAAATGCTGAAGAAGAGGAAGAGATGCTGATGGATTTCAAGAATAAAAATAGATAGATAAGGATACTAGAGCCACATCTAACATGATGGACCTCTGGGTTCGCTTGTTCCACACTGCCTGCTGAAAACTCTGCTGAATCAAAGCAGGATCGAGTCTGCCACATTCAACAAAAAAAGCTATGTATTTGAGAGGTAGGTTGACAGGAGGTGTCTATGGTATGTCTGTATAAGTTTATCTGGAAAACATTTTTTTAAATAACTAGGGATATTTGTGACTTACACCGATGCTGGCTTAGCTTTCACTTTAAAATTCAAGGAGTATAGGAAATAAAACATGCTGATAATGACTACCCAATGCCAGTGTACATCACAGGACTGAATATTTTTTCTCTCTTGCCAAGATCTTTGCAACCTTTTGTATTTTTCATCGTAGTTGTCCGAGAGTTTACAGCAGCCAACAAGAAAACAAGAGATGGACGACCATACAAACAAGGCTCAAGTAACACTATTATCTGAGCATTTATTTATGTATATGTGACTATAACATAATGTCTTTATTAAGTCACAAAAGCCAGGGGATGGAGACCAAATGAGGTAAGTCGGCCTCCTGCTGTTGGGTCCCGGGTGTAAATAATGAGTATGGCATCTCTGGAGACATGGCAGGCCGAGCGGGGCCTGAGGGCAGGAGAGGAGCTGGGTGGGAGGGATGGAGAAGGATTTAGTGGCTGGTCGCAGAGATGCAGGACATAGATAACCAGTGTCAGTTACGGCAGCGCTGGTCTCTCTGACTCAATCTCAACGTTACAGCCAAGGACAAAAACACTGACCTCATACCAAATACATATGCTCTGCAACACCTCAATGTCCACGGTGGCAGCACACGTCAAAACAGCAAGTTTGCAAAAAGAACATTTTTGAAGCTGAACCTTTGTAAAATCCTGCTTGATAGCAAATGGTTAAGGCAAATAAATGCAGCTATTTTACAAAACTCTCTGAAAGTAATTATTAAAAGCCTGCAGCCTTAATTATGTGCAGGACAGGCATGACATCACAATACAAGTTCAATTTAACTGAACTGATCTGTTTTTTCTTCTTTTCTTTTCTTTTTTTTCTTAGAAAAGCTAGATCAGCATCAGGTATTTAATTTCAACTTTCATGAGAATATACACAGAAGACTCTGCAAGTCCAAACAGCATGTATTAAAAGTCTATCTTAATTGCTATTTTGGCTTGGTGCTGTATTTTCTAACATTCGGAACTTTTTTAATGAATTCTAAAATAAAAGCATATTGTTTTCAAAATTGCTTAAGTAATTACACAGTCACAGTTTAAGCTTCTGCCACAGCAGGTCATCTGCCTCCATCTCACCCTATCTCTTGCATCCTCTTCATGTATACTGAGCCACATCTTCCTCCAGTGCATTCATGAATCTTCCTTTCCACCTCTGTTCCTTCTGTCTTGCAGCTCCATATTCATCATAGTTTGATATTGTGCTTTATTTTTCCTTCACTGGTTGCTAGGTTTGACTCTTTCTTGTGTCTTTCCCTCCTCAGTTTATCAAAGCTGTTAATCATTAGCAGCTACTCATGTGCACTCTCCGGTCACAATTTTGTTTACTGTGACCAACCAATTTCATCGCTTCCTTTTATTTTACCCAACCATCATCTCTACATTTAGTCTACTATCCATCGTTCCTTCACTGTTTTCATGGTGTTTGCTTTTCATTCCCTTTACATTTTAAATTTAAGGCCTCCACAAAGCTATAGTAAATAAAAAGTACAACATTTTATCTTAGTATGCCCTTTTCTGCAAATTGTGTATTAAACTCTTCCAGGACAACGGTAATGCTTTGCATTGGTACATCACACCTTCCTATTGACCTCTGTGCCCTCCTTTCTCCTCCTCTCTCCTCTTTTGTGATGCAAGGTTATCTCTTGTATATACACAATAGGACTCTGGCTGTTACAAGGATTCTAGGACAATGTTGTATAAGTGAGAGCGGTTTTCTACATCTGTATTCTAAGTGCTTTCTACAAAGTATGTTCCAGACAACATGCTGAGACTGTCCTTTGAAAACATCAGCTCACTTGAGTCAGACCTGACATTAAACTCCCACATCGAGTCTAAATTCAGCAGCGTAAATTCTCCATCAAGAGTTTGGGGGATGCAAGAAAAATATTCTGATCTATGTGAATTTGGCTCACTTCTTGGCTCCACATTTATATATTAAACTCAGGCAAATTCCAGTCAGAATCAGGGCTGTTTAATTACTAAATAGGTGCAGCAGAGTTCACTATGTATGGAGCCTGAATATTAGCTGGTCTGATAGTTAAATATTAAAGACGTTCTGCTCCACTCTTCATTTTTGATGAACTATAATACTGCAACATAATATACCATTTAACTGGCTCTGCCTCACAAGAATCATACCATACATGTTGATGTAGATTTTTGATCAGCTTAGGTCTTTTATCTTGTACCAATTTTCTGATCCTACCAGTAGCACGTGCTTTTTAAGTATCAGCTGTGGATGGACTCTTCAGTATGCTTACCACTGACATCAGGCAAACCATATAAGATCTGGTATTTAAGTCTACTTTTATTCTACTTCTACTTCTTTACTATTCGACTTCTTTTATTTAAGTCTCTATTTAAGTCACTGCTAACTGACTAGAAATGAGAATCAGTTAACTATCCGGTGCAGCTGACATTAAGCTCCATTGTGCAGTAAATTGTAAGGATGTGGCAACATATTGTCGAAACATTCATAAAGGAAGATATCCACTTTGTTGACACCAACTGAAAAATAAGATTACAATTGCTGTGTCACATCATTTTGTGCTGAGTACACGTTAAGAGATGCTGAGAAACTGAAAGACTAAAAGAGTTCAGCTACTTTTAATATTATTTTTTCCCACCAAAAAAGGAGAATAAATGACAAGTCAATGAAGGTTTATTTTTTGAACTATGTGACTTGAATATGTTATATGAGATCACAGACAGGAAGTAATAAATCTAGCATAAGAACCTACAAATGCTACCTTTACCGCCCAGCCCCTCATCTATACAGCCTCAAAGCTGACGCTTCACTTATCTAGGTCCCCCATAATATAAGTGCGAAGTGGATCGCGTGAATAGCTAATGAGATATGCAAAGAAAATAAAGGCAGAAAAACATACAGAGATTCCTTGATTTATTAATGCTATTAGAAAGTCTTCCAACCGAAGCTGACTAATCGCAACTGAAAGTCAGTATGATCTCTCCTGCTGTGTGGTAATATCAGCAGGAAAGATTCAGCCAGATCTCAGCATGTCAGAGATGTGCCCTGTTCCCCACCATGCCTGTCACAGATACTGTAGATAAGACAGACAGCTAGATGGTTACAGACAGACGGACAAAAATACAGAGACATCCTGAAAGATACAGAGCCAAGCTGTCGCATTTTCCTTTCAGTTCCAAAGACCTTGGTCCAACCTCAGCCTTTTATGGATGACTTGCTCAATCCATCTGTCGTTCCATCTTAATCTCACCTTCTACCTTTTTCTGTCTATCTATATTTGGATAAAATTAGCTGCCAGTCTATGTCTGCCACCATCTTTACCCGTGGCTCAAAGAAGTCTTTTTTTGTGTGTGTTTTTCTCACACACAAGTTTGATCTTGCTTCATTTATTTGCTTTTCTCAAATTGTCGCAACACTCTTTCCTCGCCATGCTGCATTATTAAGGAGGCACATTAATCACTCGGGCTGCCTGTCACTCCATCGCCACACACTTCTGTTGTCCCCGCAGCACACATGCACACACATTCACGCACACATTAATGCTGGTTTCACAGGGGGAGTTAGTCCCATCAGTGTCTGTGTATAAGTCCCTTAGAGTGAAAAATGAGGCTACCCTTCGAGTGACAAAGGGCTGTTTTCCTTCCAGGAGGATATTACCAAGGTTTTAGCAAGCAACCTGTCACGCTGTGTCATACATAAATGGCTTTAGCACTTCACATTTTCTGCACAAAAGGGGACTGTTCTGTGTTTGCACCTGTCTTGAAGCATGTGTTATCCTTGGGTGGGTTTCTTTTGTTGCTGGCGAGCTACAGCATGAAACACCTAAATAAAAACAATGGCTGAGTGGGTGGCTATATTCCAGCTTATAAAACCTGTATGAGGCAAAACAGCAGGACCGTACGGCTGTTCAGACAAAAAAAAAGAATGAAAGAAAAAAGGAACATACTGTGTGCTGGAAGAGAATAAGTTGTACAGCTGACAATTGAGATGACTCATTGATAACTCCTCAATTACCATCCAAATTGAGAGAGGAAGAAAAATGGGCAGGTA